CTATAACAAAGAAAAACGTATGTATGAGAAATTTGAACAGGGAAAACTTTTACAAGTTAGTTTGCTTATATAACTTAGAAACAACTCTTCAAGCTTTTCAAGAAAAAATAAACGATATCTATATTGAATATGCAAACCAGTATAACATTGACGAAGGAGAATACCATCTCGATATTATTTATGACAGGAAAAATGCAACTGTTAAAATCAATAAAATAGAAGACCTTGGAGAAAACGTTTATATTTCTACAAAATATAACAACTTGGCATGGTATAGATTTATGAGGATGTTAAATCAGCCTGCAGCATATCCAGTACACCCGGACTATTATGAAGTCGAAAACCCTAATGGAACATATGAAAATATTTTCGACCCAGATGCTATTATTGTTCATGCTTCATTTTCTGGTGCGCAAAACTCTTTCTTATGTCTGATGAATGACTTTTACGAAAAACCTACAAAGTTATACGAACCACCAAGTGGAAGTATTTCAGACTTTCAAGTATGGTTTACTACAGATGGAAGAAAAAGAATAATTCCATTATACCATGCGTTTTACTTAGAACTTAGTTTCATATACAACTACTATCGAACGATAAAAATATAATTTTTTAATACGGTTGAGGTGTTGGATTTGGTTGCCAACTAGACTGTGGTGCAGGTTCAGGCTGTTGTATAACAGGAGCTTGTTCTTCTGGTTCAGGGTCTTTAGGTATAATACCAACAAACTGACCTACTCTTTTACCAATATTTTTGACTCCGTTCCAAATTCCTTTTCCTACGGTTTTGACGCCATTCCATATACCTCTTCCAACTCTTCTGAAGAAGTTTCCAATACTACTGAAGAAACCCATTTACTACGTGTAAAAATCTAATGTCCGCCTAGTCTCTTACGTTTCCTGTTGAGTTCAATAGCATTCTTTAACTGGAGCTCATACATTCTGTTTCTCCTCTGGTAGAAAACATATTCTGGGTCAACTCCTGTGTTCGCGTCATCTGCATAAAGTTGTTTATATCCCACTTCAGGGTTTGTATAAAACTCTTTCCATCTCATATTTGCATACCATGGTGGCAAACCTAACGCAGCGTCATTTGACATGGCAGTTTGCATTTGTACATCTGTTGGCACTTGACCATAGTTTGCCATTGCAGTTTGTATTCTAACTTCATTTGGAATATTCTCTGGGTTTGGTTGTCCAGGTTGCTGTGCATTCGCTAAGTTCTGTGCGTCCATTTAATATTAGATAAAAATATCTCTTACGAGTACATATGCTGAACATTTGCAGGCATTGGTTCATCTTCATATTCTCTGTACTTTTCTGCCACGTCAAATAAATAAATGACACAATGGAAAAAACCTAAAACAAGTAGTCCTATTTCAAACCACATTTACTTACTAATAAAATTTCTTTATTGTGACACTTTCTCCGGTTTATAGGACCTCTCTCATATTCTATCTTGTCATATATAAACTCATAGTCATGTATGTCCTCTAACCATCTCATAACGGTTTCCAAACCACTTTTATCGGATGTAAAGTAAAAGCATGGATGGTTATGTATAACGTCTAAAGTTTCTAAAGAGTCTCTCAAAGTCCAGTCTACTTGGTATTGAAAATCACATGTGTTATAGAACGGCGGGTCCATTATAAAGAAAACATTTTCCTTGTCTTTATATTTTTCATACAACTCTGTCCAATGACATCTCACAAACTCTATACCCTCAATATATTTTTCTATGTCCTCTTTGAAAACATTTGTATAGTATAGATCCGTATTTTTCCCAAGTGAGCGGGGTATCTCCAATCCCAGCCCTATCGTCCTCCCAGTGTCAGTTTTCAATATAAAATCCAAATTTTTTTTGAAAATAAAAATTTAGAGAAATTTTTCTAATTTTTTTTCTTTGATTTCAATAATTCAAAATAAATTTGGGAGTAAAAAGACGCTATTTAATGAAATTCATATGAGTGAATGTGGATAAATACTCTCAAAACATACAATTTATCTATTTTTTCTTTATATTATCAACTAATTAGTGATAATTTTTTTTGAATCAGATTTTTTTTTCATTAAAAACATAATATATAACACAACAATAATGCACACATACGTATCTACACATCAAAATATAAAGCTTGTTTTGGTCTGGGCATCCCAACCCAAAATTCTTAAAAAATTGAATAAAATTGAATACTTGGGGCTGGGATACCCATCCCAAAACCAAATTGAATTTTTTGAATTAAAGAATATATTTATGTATTTATAATATACATGTGATGTCTATAAAAAATACTAAATTCTAAAAAAAATTCAATTTATTCAAAACGTATACTAAGTGATCACTTCATTAGTAGGATCAGCAATCCTACTAAATGGTGAGAACGCCACTAACTCAAAAGGGAGTCCTTGGAGCTCTTGATCTCTTGTCAGTAGAGTTCATAATGAGGCATGGCATCTACTGATTAGAGATCAGAGCAATCCTACCTTACCTTCAGGAGCTACAAAGCTCCTAATCGTTACGAGAGGGAGCCTTGGAGCTCCTGAAGCTCATCAGCAGAGGCTATTTACCATTTGGGCCTCTTCTGATGAAAGATGCGAAACACGTCTACGAACCAGGAGCTTCAAAACTTCTAATCCTTACTAAAGGAGCTTTGGAGCTCCTGAGTCTCCATCAACAGAGTCCCAGATGGTAAATGTCCTTTGCTGATGAAAGATGCGAAACACATCTACGAACCAGGAGCTCCAAAGCTCCTAATCCTTACGAAAGGGAGCTTTGGAGCTCCTGAAACTCCTTTTACTATAAAATAGGACAGTTTTCTTCTGAGGTTCTCATCAAATCTAAGACTTCAGAAGAAAGCTGTCCTATCAATGTATACTTACACTCTCATGGACTACAAGTGTACAATTTTAAGGCAGAGATTATCCGAGGCCTCTCATCAAATGAGGGACCTCGGATAATCTCTACCTTAAGTAGTCAAATAACTTTTCTCACTATTTAGGAACAAAAGAACAAGAGTTGGAGTACTTTAAGGCAAGATTCTTCCGAAATCTCTCATCGAATGAGAGACTTCGGAAGGACCTTGCCAAATCCTTGAACGCCAATATCCTTGGAACTGAGCTAGAACCAGGGAGAAGTAGCATACTATAGAGCACGATGGTAATCTCGGAAATGCTTATATCGCCCCAAGCACAATATTTAAGAAGTCTAACTCATATATACAAGAAGTCAGGCTGAATAGATATTGTGCATATGGTTTGCAGAACTCTCATGATATTTCAAATTCATGTTATCCCAAAAAAGGTGACACTTTGGGTGTATCGTCCATCCCAGGGATGCAAAAATCACATCACCTTGGATCTATATTTGTATAGTTAAGATATAAAACTTTTGACATAAGTGTTTCAATGTCATGAACTCTTATAGAACCACTATATAATAGTCTAGCAGATATACTATCCCAGTCTATATATTCTGCTTTTTTCAAAACCTCTCTCACAATATTTTTCTTATCTAATGGTATACGTTCCATCTTACCTATAGGTATCTTTTCTTTTAACTCTTTCAATATATTGTTTGTGTCTGGAATATGTTTGAGACGGTCCATATAGTTGTCGAAGTCATTGCATATAATCTTTGAGTCTGGGAATATTGTATGACATAAATGGGATATATAGAAACTTCCACCGAACAAATCTACAAATGTTAGACCATTCGGTAGTTTCTTAAGTTCTCTCAATATAATATCTTTACATTTACTCTTATTTCCAAAGAACGGTAACGGTGGTTTTGTAAAATTCATTTATATATAATAATAAAAATGTTTTTACCTGAAAAGTGACAGAAAAGTGACAAAACATGAAAACATATATAATTTGTGAAAAGCGACACATTATATAATGTTTTCGACCCAGAAGACTAACAATTTTCCGAATAAAAACTTCATTTATACTAAACATCTTCGGGGCTAGAGGGCGCAACGCGCCTGGAAGCCCCACTTACCTGACCTTATTCTTATTTTAAATATGATATTATCCTTATATTCCACACTAAAATTCATTTAAATCAACTTTTAAAAAAAGTTCGAATCCTGCGCGTCTCACTTTTTAAATTTTCCAAATGGAAAATTATATTCTCCTAAAGTGAAAACAATTTTCCAAATTGACTTCCTTAATCCATATAATTCTAATGTTTTCTTTTAATTTAAATAATAATAATAATTAAAAATAAAAATAAAAATAAACTTTTCTATAATATTTATAAAGCTGATTTGATATATTGTAATAAACAGAAATTCATCAAAAGTGACAGCTCTCAATTTTTTGACATTTGTAAATTCTAAATTGAATGAGAAAAATGAAATAATACTAAGCATAATACAATATTCTAGATTTAATTATAATTAGGAAAAAGTTAGTTTTGAGAGTACTTTTCATAGGCATATAGAATGAAATCTTCTGAAAAATAATATCACATAAACTCATATTATTTTCTAATATATAACTATTTTATATAAAAATCAAATTCAATGATCTTAAAAGCGAAGGATAAACCTCAAAATTTACGAATATAATGAGTGGGAATATAATGCTTATCTATCATAAAACCATATGAAATATCAATTTTTGCTTTACGCCTAATTTTTGACGACAATTAGCAAAAAAATGTTAAATGTTAACACTCAGTCCATTTGAATATGAAAAATAAAATTGACTTTGATTAAATGTTTTTATTTATCATGCAATTCTTCTTGCGACCAAAGATTTGAATAAAATTTCAAAAAATAAGATAGCTTAAAAAATAATATACGGTAGTGTTTACTAATAGATGAATAGTATATATATTCTATTAAAATGGATTTGATCCAAAAAATATATAAAATTTGATCATAAATAAAATCGTTTTAAATTACTTCTTCATTTAAATTATAACAATTATTTTTGATTTTTATTTATCATCCACATTCAAATTTGAATCTTATCACAAAAGAAGGACCACTTTTATGACTACTGCCAAATCTATAAGCAGAGAATGGCTATTTGAAGCTAAAAGAAGAATAGAAGAAGGTGAATCTTACAAAAGTGTGGGAAAGGAAGTTGAATTGGAAAATGGTAAAATTAAATTGAATGTTGCCGAAAATACAATAAGAAGAGCATTTCAACTTCAAGAAATCGAATTACCAAAAGTTAGTCGCGGCAGAAAACCAAATCCACCAACATTTGAGCAAAAACAATTAATTAATTCTTGTGTTTCACAATATAAAGGATGAATTTCAAAAACTTATTTATTGATTAAAAGGTTTCAAAATATTGCTCAAAATCCCGATTGTGATAAAGAAAAAGAAGAAATTGCAAAAGAATTTGAAAATATAGAAGATTTGACAAAAGATCAAATTTTTGGCAATTTACAAAAAATAAAGCATCATCAAGTGGAAAAATTTATGATGGAATCAGGTTTATCTTCAAAAAGAGATTACAAACCAGCAGATCTGTTGTAAACGAAAACGATAAAAACGGTTTGACAGAAAAGTGACACTTTACATGGCAAAAAATAGAGTCTTACTTTTGAGATACTTGAGATTGAAACTGAATCTTATGAGGCGGTGATCTTGAATCACTACATCATAAGGTTCAGTTTCATATAAAATTTGTTGCAATTTGTTATTCTTTTGCAATTATTTCTTATAAGATTTTACATCTTTTAGCGGGGAATGTTTGTTATCATGTATATATTATAAATATCTACACGATAACGAACATTCCTCGCTAAATTGCTGAGAAACTTTGAGGAAATGTCGAACAATTTCCTCAAAGTTTCTCAGATTTATATAGATCACTAGAGTCCCCTAGGCATTGATTCTGGTTCAGTACCTAGGAGGCTCTAGTTCTCTAACGAACTGATAAAATGTTTTTAAATTTTTGGATATTGCTACCTGTGAAGCACTGACTTCAAGTCAGTACCTCACAGGTAGCAATTAGATTGAAAGATGGGAGAAACTTTGTCCGAATGTTAAACTATTCGGACAAAGTTTCTCCCATTTGTAGTGGAGATGGAAGGCTTTGAGGTATATTGTATTAATATATACCCCAAAGCCTTCCATCTCCACTTGAAAGTGTCCAAACTTTGGGTTAATAGTTTGCAATTAACCCAAAGTTTGGACACTTTCTAGAAGGAATTGGAGGGTAAGAGATATACATTCATATGGTATATCTCTTACCCTCCAATTCCTTCTTAAAATGGGAGAAACTTTGTCCGAATGTTAAACTATTCGGACAAAGTTTCTCCCATTTTTTGAAGGAATTGGAGGCTATGAGATACTGATGCAATGTCAGTAACTCATGGCTTCCAATTCCTTCCTAAAACTCATAAAAGTGGACATTACATACATATAAAATTTGACATGTAAAGTCCACTTTTTGTGAGCGGGGATTTGACTCCGTCAAATCCCCCTTTTCGTTTACGAGAGATCCACCTACCAAATATCGTGCCATATCAAAGAATTTGATATGGCACTGCGATATTCATTACCTTCACGGTAATGTTTCTTTTCCATTTTTTGCCATATTGGATGATATGACACGTAAAGTTCTCAAAACTAAATTATTGAAAAACAAGTCTTCCAACTCAACAGCGAAGGTTTTAAGAAAACTTTTAGAGGAGTTTATTCCTTACTGCATCTGGAACGATAACGGCGGTGAAAACCGCGGTGAATTCGGCCAGGTTATGCAGGAAAACGGAATGGTTTGGAAGCACACCTTGCCGTATATGCCAAGACAGAACGGCAAGGTGGAGCGCCTGTGGCCAAGCTTAGAAAAGTTTTTGCCAGACGAGTTGGATGATATTCAACAAATCAAGGACTCAGTTCAGCAGTTCATTGAAAAATTTAACAATACACCACATTTATCTCTCGATATTAATCCAAAAACGAATAGTAATTACACTCCTAACGAATTATTCGAAGTTTCAAAATTTTGGTACGAGCCAGAAATGCAAAAATGGGAGTTATATATCAAAGACGAATGGGTCTTAGCAAAATTTGAATAATTACATCATTTTAAATGACTACTAAACAATTTTATTTATGATCAAATTTTATATATTTTTTTGGATCAAATCCATTTTAATAGAATTTATATACTATTCATCTATTAGTAAACACTACCGTATATTATTTTTTAAGCTATCTTATTTTTTGAAATTTTATTCAAATCTTTGGTCGCAAGAAGAATTGCATGATAAATAAAAACATTTAATCAAAGTCAATTTTATTTTTCATATTCAAATGGACTGAGTGTTAACATTTAACATTTTTTGCTAATTGTCGTCAAAAATTAGGCGTAAAGCAAAAATTGATATTTCATATGGTTTTATGATAGATAAGCATTATATTCCCACTCATTAGATTCGTAAATTTTGAGGTTTATCCTTCGCTTTTAAGATCATTGAATTTGATTTTTATATAAAATAGTTATATATTAGAAAATAATATGAGTTTATATGATATTATTTTTCAGAAGATTTCATTCTATATGCCTATGAAAAGTACTCTCAAAACTAACTTTTTCCTAATTATAATTAAATCTAGAATATTGTATTATGCTTAGTATTATTTCATTTTTCTCATTCAATTTAGAATTTACAAATGTCAAAAAATTGAGAGCTGTCACTTTTGATGAATTTCTGTTTATTACACATATTCTCTTAAATGTCTGGTGGTGGTTCAAAAATGCCACTCTCTATAATTTTTGGCAATATAATTGTTTTGAATGTCAAAAAATTTACATGGCAAAAAATGAAAATTTGCAAAATGTTCCAACTTTTTGAGAGGAACGTTGTGCAAAATAATTTTATAGACAGCTCTGGAAAGTTTTATTTCGCTTTGATAATATATCCAACACCAATAAATAGTAAATATTATACTTATATTATTATTAAAAACTTGTGAACGTTTCATTGTTGGTTCTTGAGAAAATCGAATTCCTTTTCAATAGGGTAAAAAATATACGTGTCACTTTTTGAGAGCAATAGAATAGAGCAAAGAGTTAATAACTCTTGGCAATCGGGTGTACCGTCATATGATAAAAAGAGTTTTTGGAGCATTGGAATTGTAATTCCATGCTTTGCATGTGATAATGGTGACTTTGCCATCTTATTAATTACTCCTTTTTTTGTATTTTTTGAATGATTGGGACTTTGTAAAGTTATATGTTTCTTTTTCATTGCACCAAAACACAAAAGATGCAATAAAAAGTTTGATATATTTGATTGTTGTCTCATGTGTGAGTCTGTAATACTCAATGAAGGCACGAGCATTATCTTCTGTGATTGGGAAAGGGTTTGGTGTTCCATCTATTGTCCTAAGTATGTTTGCATATCTGAATATCATTCTGGCATATGTCTTTCTTGTGCTTGGTGCTAAACAATCTTGCTCTACATCCTTAGACTCTTTAATAAGCATTTCATAATCTGATGGTTCAAGCATTTTATGATGAAATGGAAGCTTTGTTGGTATGCAGGATTTAAGATCCATTGAAATGAAAATGAAATTCAATGAGTTTAATTTCTGAGAAAAATTTTTGGGGTATTATTATTGTCGTCTGGCGGTTTTAGACGACAATACGAATTTTCAAATAATAGGATTTTTAGCCAGATAAAGAGCTACTCCATATATCATGCGTGTTTGCATACTATATACATAGATGGAATTGATGTTCTTCCTTTATTTAGGTACCGAAACATGCTTGAAAAATCTATTTTTTAGACGACAATGATAATTTTGTCACTTTTCCAGACGACAATAATACTTTGTCACCTTTTTAGACGACAATAATAATTTTGTCATTTTTTCCAGACGACAATAAAACATCCTCAAAATTTTTTATAATATAAAAATTGATTAATATAATTGCATGGATATTTTTTAATAAAAAAATATAAAGCTCTCAAAACGTAACACAGATATTTTTTGACGCCTGCATTGAAAAAGAACTAAAATATCAAAGTGTGACTTTTCGACTTTTTGAGCAGAGCGAAGCGGAGCTCAAAAAGTCGAAAAGTCGCACGAATATTTTTAATTTTAAATTTCAAAAATAAAAAATCTTATAGTCTTTTAACGTACATATAAATTTTTATTTGGTCAGTAAATAATAAAGATATAAAAAAAAAAGGTAGTGGGGCTTCCAGGCGCGTTGCGCCCTCTAGCCCCGAAGATGTTTAGTATAAATGAAGTTTTTATTCGGAAAATTGTTAGTCTTCTGGTGTGAATTCGGAGGACTCTTCTTGGATAGAGTCTTGTATTTCCTCCTCCTCTTCTTCCTCCTCCATTGCTTCTGGGAAGAAGCCTTCTTCTGGGTCGAAAACATTATATAATGTGTCACTTTTCACAAATTATATATGTTTTCATGTTTTGTCACTTTTCTGTCACTTTTCAGGTAAAAACATTTTTATTATTATATATAAATGAATTTTACAAAACCACCATTACCGTTCTTTGGAAATAAGAGTAGATGTAAAGATATTATATTGAGAGAACTTAAGAAACTACCGAATGGTCTAACATTTGTAGATTTGTTCGGTGGAAGTTTCTATATATCCCATTTATGTCATACAATATTCCCAGACTCAAAGATTATATGCAATGACTTCGACAACTATATGGACCGTCTCAAACATATTCCAGACACAAACAATATATTGAAAGAGTTAAAAGAAAAGATACCTATAGGTAAGATGGAACGTATACCATTAGATAAGAAAAATATTGTGAGAGAGGTTTTGAAAAAAGCAGAATATATAGACTGGGATAGTATATCTGCTAGACTATTATATAGTGGTTCTATAAGAGTTCATGACATTGAAACACTTATGTCAAAAGTTTTATATCTTAACTATACAAATGTTTTCAAAGAGGACATATAAAAATATATTGAGGGTATAGAGTTTGTGAGATGTCATTGGACAGAGTTGTATGAAAAATATAAAGACAAGGAAAATGTTTTCTTTATAGTGGACCCGCCGTTCTATAACACATGTGATTTTCAATACCAAGTAGACTGGACTTTGAGAGACTCTTTAGAAACTTTAGACGTTATACATAACCATCCATGCTTTTACTTCATCCGATAAAAGTGGTTTGGAAACCGTTATGAGATGGTTAGAGGACATACATGACTATGAGTTTATATATGACAAGATAGAATATGAGAGAGGTCCTATAAACCGGAGAAAGTGTCACAATAAAGAAATTTTATTAGTAAGTAAATGTGGTTTGAAATAGGACTACTTGTTTTAGGTTTTTTCCATTGTGTCATTTATTTATTTGACGTGGCAGAAAGATATAGAGAATATGAAGATGAACCAATGCCTGCAAATGTTCAGTATATGTACTCGTAAGAGATATTTTTATCTAATATTAAATGGACGCACAGAACTTAGCGAATGCACAGCAACCTGGACAACCAAACCCAGAGAATATTCCAAATGAAGTTAGAATACAAACTGCAATGGCAAACTATGGTCAAGTGCCAACAGATGTACAAATGCAAACTGCCATGTCAAATGACGCTGCGTTAGGTTTGCCACCATGGTATGCAAATATGAGATGGAAAGAGTTTTATACAAACCCTGAAGTGGGATATAAACAACTTTATGCAGATGACGCGAACACAGGAGTTGACCCAGAATATGTTTTCTACCAGAGGAGAAACAGAATGTATGAGCTCCAGTTAAAGAATGCTATGGAACTCAACAGGAAACGTAAGAGACTAGGCGACATTAGATTTTTACACGTAGTAAATGGGTTTCTTCAGTAGTATTGGAAACTTCTTCAGAAGAGTTGGAAGAGGTATATGGAATGGCGTCAAAACCGTAGGAAAAGGAATTTGGAACGGAGTCAAAAATATTGGTAAAAGAGTAGGTCAGTTTGTTGGTATTATACCTAAAGACCCTGAACCAGAAGAACAAGCTCCTGTTATACAACAGCCTGAACCTGCACCACAGTCTAGTTGGCAACCAAATCCAACACCTCAACCGTATTAAAAAATTATATTTTTACCGTTCGATAGTAGTTGTATATGAAACTAAGTTCTAAGTAAAACGCATGGTATAATGGAATTATTCTTTTTCTTCCATCTGTAGTAAACCATACTTGAAAGTCTGAAATACTTCCACTTGGTGGTTCGTATAACTTTGTAGGTTTTTCGTAAAAGTCATTCATCAGACATAAGAAAGAGTTTTGCGCACCAGAAAATGAAGCATGAACAATAATAGCATCTGGGTCGAAAATATTTTCATATGTTCCATTAGGGTTTTCGACTTCATAATAGTCCGGGTGTACTGGATATGCTGCAGGCTGATTTAACATCCTCATAAATCTATACCATGCCAAGTTGTTATATTTTGTAGAAATATAAACGTTTTCTCCAAGGTCTTCTATTCTATTGATTTTAACAGTTGCATTTTTCCTGTCATAAATAATATCGAGATGGTATTCTCCCTCGTCAATGTTATACTGTTTTGCATATTCGATATAGATATCGTTTATTTTTTCTTGAAAAGCTTGAAGAGTTGTTTCTAAGTTTACAAGCAAACTAACTTGTAAAAGTTTTCCCTGTTCAAATTTCTCATACATACGTTTTTCTTTGTTATAGTATCGAACTTCAAAACCGACCGTAAATGGGAAACCATGTATGGCTTCTGAAATGAACTTCATTCTACGAAAGCCAATAGCTTTTGTGACGGATGGGTCTCTTAACCATCTTAATGGGTAGTCAAAACGATAGCCTTCATGCTTTACGGTATCTGTCTCAAACTTTTGACCGACATTAGTAAAAGTTCATCTAATGGTTTAGTTGTAGCAACTCTTGAATTTTCTTTTTCTATTGGAAGCATATTTTATCTATAATAAAAATGTCAAATGAAACAGTGTCTATGAGAGAAATACAACACAACCGACAACTCATTATGCAAGCTCTAAATAAGAACACAACAAACTTTTCAAACTATTCTAAGATATCTGAGTCATTGAAAGAAGGAAACTTAAAACTGACATTAAACCCAATGACAGATGAGTTTCTATTTCAAGACAAGAAGAACAATACTGTCTGTATAAATCCAACAAAAGGAACTTTAAACGAGAAACCTATAAATGAACTTCTTTTGAAAGCAGATGTTGACAACAAAGCTGACAAAGAATATGTAGACGATGCAATAGCAAAAGAAGAAGAAAGAGCTAACAATGCTTATGCAACAAAAGAACATACTCATCCTGAACTAGCAGACAAAAAATATGTTGACAATAAAATGTCAAGTGAAGTGACAAGAGCTGAAAACGAATATTCTAAAAAGACTCATATACATTCTATATCTGAAATAACAGACTTAAACGTTAGCCTTGAAAAGAAAGCGGATAAGGATTGTGTGGCTAGTAAGTTAGAGAAGAAAGCAGATAAGGAATATGTGGATGAAAAAGATAATGAAATTATAGAAAGGGCTGAATGGTATCATGAATGGACATCGAAGATTTTAAAAACTAAAGCTGATACAGGATGGGTTTCAGGATGTTTAGACCTTAAAGCAGATAAAACTTATGTTAACGATGAGTTAGAGAAGAAAGCAAATAAGACTCATACACATACAAGTTTTACAACTGTTAGAGCAGACGACATAATACTGAACTTTGACCTTGGTTCAAGTGCACCTTTAGAGAATCCGAGTACAAGCGTAAAATACTCTTAACAATTTAGATAAGAGTTGCAGGAACATTGAAAGTCATGCCAGAAACTTTGAAGCATATGAACTACCGCAATGTTTAGACAAGAAAGCAGACAAAACAGAGCTTCAAACATTAAAGACAGAAATACTTCAAACATTATATCCTATAGGCTCTATTTATACGTCAATGAACTCTACCAGACCAGAAACAGTTCTGGGTTTTGGAACTTGGACTCAAATAGTCGACAGGTTTTTGTATTGTGCAAACTCTTCAAAGGAAACAGGTGGAAGTAAAACGATTTCAGGTGAAAATTTACCTGCACACAGTCACTACATAGATTTAAGTACATCTCAAGCAGGTTGGCATAGTCATAGATTTTGGGATTGGTCAGGAATGACAAAAGGTAAAGGATATGATGTTAAAGACACGTTAAGTTTGCTATAAATTGTTACTGGAATAACACTGAGGGAGGAGGAAACCATACACATCGCGTTTCAGGATATACGCAAACAACGGGACAAAGTAAAGAATACATGCCACCTTACATGACAGTTTACGCATGGTATAGAAATGCTTAGTCGTCATTTTCAACTTCTTTAGCATATTCGTCAGGAGTTGTCTTATATTTGTTAGGAACTGTCTTTGAAAGTATACCACCTTGAACTTTGACAAGTTTGAAACGAGGTCTGACAATAGTAGTTTTATCTTCTGCTTGCAGTGTGTACATTTTGCCATGTTTGCCTAAAACTTCATAATATTCTCTTGTATACTTTCTTCTATTTTTACGAACACGAATGTGAGTACCTGTCGGGTTCCCATTGTTGTCATAGTCAATAGTATTTTCATATGGGTCGCGTTTAGGTATTTCTATTTTTACTTTGTCACCTTTCTGAAGTTTGAAGCCCGGCATTCTTTCTTGTTTGTCTCTTTTGACTAAATTATTAAATATATAGTCTTTCTCTAAGTCAGGGTTGTTTTTCATTTCTTCGGGGGAGTGGTTTCCCAAACCTTTTTGTTTACGGCTATTGTAAATATTTAAAACTTGTCTCATCTTTGCCATGGAGAAGTGTCTATATTTGTCGTCATATGACATTTCATTTGCTTCACCACCTTGTGGTTGGTTTAAGTCTCTTAACATTTTTATACAACCGTCAATGACACCAAGAGCAGAATGGTTTTTGGTCGACAATGAAATATTGGTTTACATTTTTTGAACGCAGATAGTTTTTTACATCATCTGATTTGAAAGAACTTTCACAGTCAGATGTCAGTTTTGTTGGATGGTATTTGTCAACGAATATTGTCAAAGCTGCTAAGATATCTAAAATATTTTTGGACCATAATGGTATGGCTTCACAGTATCTTGTGTTTTGACCGACAAATATTAGCCAGTATGGTGGTCCATCTGTTCTAACTCTCGGAATGTTTTCCAAGATATCCATAAACCAAGCATTTGGTGTTGAACTAAAGATTTTTATCATGAGTGCTTTTTTTGTCGCTTTAGAAACATAGGGGTCCTTGTTCGGATTCGTCATTTTTTACCCTATAAGAATGGGTTTATTTGGCGCATTAGCAGGAGTTGCATCCAGATTTTTGCCCGCAGTGGGGAACAATAGCCAGAGGTGTATTTGGAGTTGGAAGGAAGATTTTGAGTACATTAGGTATACTTAAAGAGAAAGCACAACCTATTATACAAAATGTACAGAAAGGTTGGGATGTAGCACGAGATGCAACAAATCTTATTCCAAATCCTGAAACAAGAGGAAAAGTTTCAAGGATGGATGGACAATGTAGGAAGACAAGCAGGAAACTATTATAACAAAGCAAATGACTACTATAACCAAGCAGGACACTATATGGACCAAGGTGAAAGATTCTTTAACAGAGGATATAACCATGCACAACAATGGGTAAACAATAACCAACCTCAACCGCCTCAAACGTGGGGAATGTAAAGTTTTTTACTGAGATGAAATGAACAATACAGCATTGAGACAAATGGGTTCAAGATGGATTTGTCGGCTTCCACAGTTACACAACGTGTTTGTCAAGTTCTTCCTATACCTCAGGAAGTTTTAGACCGACTTAAAAAACAACAACAACCAGTTGAAAACAAACCAAACTAAAATTTTTTACTGAGATGAAATGACCGAAGAAGTTGAAACGGTAGATTTGACACCACAAACAAAAAAGTTCAGAACCATTG